TCTAATGGAAGTTAAATGAGAATATAAGAGGTTTTATTACGAAGTAGATTTCTGAACCCTGTAGACGGTTCCTGGGAGATATCCCGGTATTTAATTAAATTAGTTTCAACCAGACAGATGAGATTAAAGAACCTGGAGAAGGGGAACCTGGATTTAAAGAATACTGTAGCATTGTTTACCTGGAGAAGATAGAACCCGCGGAGAAGAGAGAACCTGGAGAAGTTGGAACCTGGAGAAGAGAAAACCTTGAGAAGTTGAAACCTGGAGAAGAGAGAACCTGGAGAAGTTGAAACCTGGAGAAGTGTGAACCTGGAGAAAAGAGAACCTGGTGAAGAGAAAACGGAGAAGAGTTAACCTGGAGAAGAGGGAACTCGCGGAGAAGTTGAAACCTGGAGAAGTAGAAGCCTGGATCGAGAAGAAAAATCCTGGTGAAGAGGAAACCTTGAGAAAAAGGAACTCGCAGAGAAGATAAACCTGGAGATAAGAGAGCCTGGAAAAAAGGTGAACCTGGGAAACAAGGGATCCGGAGAAGAGGGAGCCTGGAAATGGAGAACCAGGAGATGGCGGAACCTGGATAATAGGTTCCCCAAATTAGTGATTTACGTAAACCCTTTCAAGAGATAACCTGCGTTTTCAGTTTAGAGAACAAGGAACAGAGAGAAGACAGAACACATTATTAGATAGATAGATAGATAGATAGAGGGATAGATAGATAGATAGATAGATAGATAGATAGATATATAGATAGATAGATAGATAGATAGATAGATAGATAGATAGATAGATAGATAGATAGATAGATAGATAGATAGATAGATAGATAGATAGATAGATAGATAGCTATATAGATAGATAGATAGATAAATAGATAGATAGATAGATAGACTGCCAAGTTGGTTTTCGTCTCATTTCTTAATCCAAGATGATTTATGAAAGATTAAACAATGTTTCCTTAATCCCAACCTTGGCAGTTAAATCCGGAACTTCTTGTCCATCTTTAACCTGGATATATATGGTTTCAGACCAACCAGGATACAAGGCAGGACAAGGATTGATCCCTTAATTTCTTCATCATACAGGGGAATATATTACATTTGAATATTTAACAAATTTGACAGGTTTGATTTCTCAAATTTGTTTAAAACTGTTGTAACAAAGTTATAGAAGTTTTAAAATATTAAAACTCCAAGTTTGTTGAAGGAATCCCATCTTAGATGATAAATCCTAAAAGTAAATATTTCATTATGTTTTACTTATTAATAAATGAAAATATAAAACTATGGAAAGTGAATACAAATTTATTGCTTTGAATAGTGTAATCTTTTGTACCCCTTTGTATCCTTGTATGCCTTATCTCTATAATCCTGTATGGCTTATCTCTGTATCCCTCTGTTACTATATTCCTGTAATCTGTATCTCTGTATTCAAGCACCCAAGTACCTATGTATCCTTGTATGTACTTATTAATGGATTCCTTGATCCCTTTATCCCTATACCTCTGATTCTCTGCATAGCACTGTAACCCTTTAACTTTGTATCTTTCTGTCCCTGTATCCTTGCATTCCAGTATCCATGTATCCCTTTACACCAATCAGTATCTCTGTAACTATTATAACTGTATCCCATAAATCTGTGTCTATGTATCCCTGTATCTCTTTATTCCTGTATTTCTGTATCCCTGTATCTCTGTATCCCTGTATTCCTGTATGCCTTTATCCGTATATCCCTGTATCCCTGTATCCCTGTATCCCTGTATCCCTGTATCCCTGTATCGCTGTATCCCTGTATTCCTGTATCCCTGTATCCGTGTATCCCTATATCCCTGTATCCCTGTATCCCTGTATCCCTGTATCCTTGTATCCCTGTATCCCTGTATCCCTGTATCCCTGTACCCCTGTATCCCTGTATCCTTGTACCCCTGTATCCCTGTATCCCTGTACCCCTGTATCCCTGTATCCCTATATCCCTGCATATCTTTATCTCTGTATCTCTGTATATGGCTGTATCCCTGTATCCCTGTATCCCTATATCCCTGCATACCTTGTATCTCTGTATCTCTGTATATGGCGTGAAAGTTTGACCACTGCGCTATACAGTATGAATTCTCAATTATGAATCTTGTATGTTAAAAATTAGGAGCGTACACTGAACACAACTTTTATAATAGAATAGAATCGATCAGAAAGGAATTGAGTCTTTGCCACAAATTCAAATTGTCTAATCACTATATCTTTGAAAGCTGATGGTTAAACCTTATTATTAGATCTAACATAATTCATAGTTGGAAATATTTAAGGTTACGACATTGGATTCGATTCAATTCGTTTATGTTGTTAAGGAGCTGAAAACTTCCCTGAAACTCTAATTCTTTATTCTTAATATCTGTGTAACCTCATGTATATTTTTCGTGTCTGTTTGTCGGATTTTTTAGTACCTAGTAAAGCCAAAACGGCTGAACTGATTGTGCCTAAAGGTTTTTTTTAAATTAATAATTGTTTAATGCATTTTATATTTTACGTTGCAATATAAAAATGAACAATTATGGTGCTTTAACATTTGATAAATATATGCATTTATAGTGACTCTTAGCTTTGTACGATTTTTAATGCCCCTGAAAGGAGTTGAATCTTTGCAACAAACTCGAATTTTCTAATCCCTATATCTGTCCAACCTGATGACGAAAACCTTAGACATTTCAAACTTAGATTATTTGATCTAACAGAATTTATAGTTTGAAATATATGAGGTCTACGACATTGGATGGCAAAGATATTAGAGTTTGTGGCAAAACTCAATTCCTTTCTACCCAAATGCACTTACTTAGCCCCTTATCTTCTTTATCCTCCCCCCGGTCCCCCACGTCTTTGATATAATGAACTGCTAGCTGTGATATGATAGTAGAATAATAGAGAAGTTTAACTTCTGAAACCGTTTAGGATCAATTTAATACAATTATCTTGATAAATAATAATGTTGAAGACCCAGAACTGTCAGAAGCACCCGGAGCAGTCAATCCTAATCTGAAACTTATTTCTTAATGCTCCATCCTGGTTTCTTGGCAAGTTAGTTGTTTAGAAATACAAGGACTAATTATATGTTAAAATAGGTAAATTGCCCGACGTTGCCCAGGTTACTCATAGTTATTCCCGCCGTTTACCCGCGCTTGGTCTAAGATTCTGATTTAAGAAGTGCCCAGGGTTGCCCGTGGAATTTTTTAAAAATCATGTCACCCCCGTCCGCCCATTTGGTTCAGCTTTAACGAGCATATAAGTGAGCGAAGAGCTATATTATATAGACTAGCTTGGGAACCCAGCTTTGCCTGGAAAAATAAGTATAAAATTCAACCCACTCAACTTAGAATTTTTGAACGAACTAAGAACATTTCCCTGGTTTTACAGAGTACCCCAATCAGAGGTAGACAGGGGTTCATGGTTTATGATCGGACATACAAGCAGACAAACAAACAGAGATTACTAATTTAAATATTTATAGAGATAGATGACTGGCTACAGTGGTTACCAGAATACAGTGGAATTATAGTCGTATATGTTGTAATTTATAGTTGTTAAAACTGCCAGATTTTTAGAAGTGTTCTGGGCACGTTTATTCCACAGCTTTCTTGCCGGTTAAAACATTATAGTTTAGTAAAGAAAAATTAGGTTTAGGGTTTTAACATTATTTTTATAATTTACAGTGAAAAATATATTTTAAAGCTACCAAAAAAATATTTGTGCAAAAAGTGAATTGCTACATCATCAGAGAAACCTGAATCAATGTATGATCTAGGAGTGAGTAAGGTTTAACTAGGTTTACTGGTTAGAACAGTAAATAGTAAAAGATAAGGAAATGTGTCATGTTGGTGCACAACTGGCATTCTGTACAGAACCTGAGTTTTGCCACAAAACTCTGTTTTTCTAATCTAATTCTAATTTACTAAAACTCTGCATGTTTACAAGAACTCTGTTTGTTTTAAAAGAGCTTTGTTTGTTTTTAAATAACTCTGTATAGTGTTACAAGAACTCTGTATAGTGTTACAAGAACTCTGTATGTTTTACAAGAACTTTTGAATGCTTTACAAGAACTCCGTTAGTATTAGGAGAACTCTGATAGTTTTCCAAAAACTCTGTATGTTTTACAAGAACTCTGTATGTTTTACAAGAACTCTGTATGTTTTACGAGAACTATGTATGTTTTACAAGAACTCTGTACATTTAACAAGAACTCTGCATGCTTTAAAAGAACTCTGTACGTTTTACGAGAATTATGTTTGTTTTACGAGAAATTTGTATTTTTTACAAGAATTTTTTTTTTTACAAGAACTTGTGTGTTTTACGAGAACTCTGTAAGTTTTACAAGAACAAAATAAAATTATTTATGTGAAGGTTTTTGCAGGACTCCCGTCATCATAAATTAATTAACTAATCATCAAAATATCTTAATAATTGCTGCTTCTCTAAATATATTTTTTTTAAAAGGTCAACATTTTATCGGCTCATCAAGGCATCGTTGATATTAAAAAAATAAAATCTGTCAACGCTCAACATGTCAATAAGTAATCTCAAGAATTTTCCGCGTCAAAAATTGAAATACTTCAGAATTTAAACTCATCCTTTCATTAATACATGGAAAAAAGGTTTTTTTAAAAATTTTTATCAAATTTTTTAAATTCTTTTAAATCTATCATAACAATGCCAGGGAATCTGTTCTAAAATTAACCTAACATAAAGTTTATGTTGCGAACACTTTTTAGACAATTCATCATTTTTACCAATTCCGCAATTTTGAGAGATTCGAAATTTTAAGAATGACATGTTCAATTCACAACCGTGCTCTTTAAACAAATGACTGATCTCTCTGCAAATTTGTTGTTCATAACTGTGTTCTCTCTGTAAAAACGTATTAATGCTGCCGAAACAACGAAGGAAGTTGGGAGAATTTAACATTGTTCAAGATAAAAAATCTTCCTTATTATTACTCGTATAACCAATTTCAGAATAAAGTCATAATTTAAAATTTATTTGTTTTTATCGTGAATAATGATGGATTACATATATATATATATATTTTTATTACTGGTGACTATTCTAAACTGGTATCACAGAGATAAATCTAGCATCCCAACCAACTATACACAACCTTTGAAAGACTGGACAAATCTCAAATAATCTAAAAAGATTCTATTTTTGAAATATTTTTACTTGAAATTCAACATGTGTCTTTACTTTGAGTAAAATGGAGAAAATTTTGAAAGAAATTTGAATTTTGAATATTTAAAGAAAACAATTTGTGGACGTGCATCCACTCTTGCCCATTCTAAAGGAAATTGGAATTGTAAATTCGGGCAGTTTAATCCGAACTCAAATTTATTACCAGTTGGTGGGATGATGCTACAGGGTGTCCTGAATAAACAGGGTATCCTGGAATAACAAGGTATCCTGGAATAACATGGTATTCTGGAATAACAGGGTGTCCTGGAATGACATGTTGTCCTGGAAAAACAGGGTGTCCTAGAAAAACAGGGTGTCCTTGAAAAACAGGGTGTCCTTGAAAAACAGGGTATCCTGGAATAACAGGGTGTCCTGGAATGACATGTTGTTCTGGAAAAACAGGGTATCATGGAATAACAGGGTGTCCTGAAATAACAAGGTATCCTGAAATAACAGGGTGTTCTGGAAAAACAGTGTATCCTGGAATAACAAGGTGTCCTGGAATAACAAGATATCCCGGAATAACAAGGTGTCCTGGAATAACAGGTTGTCCTGGAAAACAGGGTATCCTGGAATGACAGGGTGTCCTGGAAAAACAGGGTTTAGGGTTTCAAATCTAGTTTATCCCCAAAGCAGGCAAGGCATCCGAATTGAAAAAATTGTTGAGAAGGCCTGAGGTATTTAATCCAGAATATTTTGCAAACTTGATTTAATTCTAGATAGGGAGCGGGGGGAGAGGAGAGAGGAGGGTAAAAGTTATTTTACATTTGGGGAGCAGGGGGGGGGGGGTTGATTGGTGTGAAAGGGAGGAAGGGGAGTATAACTTTATTATCATAAATTTCTGCTGAAAATTTAATAGAATTTTTGCACTTTGCTGAATAAAGCAAAACAAATTGAATAGAGTACACATCAATTCTAATTTTAACAAAATCACTTGGGAATATCAAAACACGTTGTTGAATAACTGACAGGGGTTTAAATGTCTAGGTTTCAATCTAAGCCGGAGGTTTTGTGTGACTTTATCAAATTACACGTTTAGCAAAGTTTTCCTATCTAAAAGTTTGAAATGCTTTTCTAATCAAATGAAGAGATCTTTCTTTAATTGAGTTGGAGAAGGTTCTAGGCTTGTTTAGAAGAAGGTATAGGATTGAACAGAGAACCAATACAAAACTTTTCTAATTTGCTAAATTTTTCCTAGAGAATAAATAATTCATGGTAGTGTATCTGGGTAAAAAATAGACTTGGTTCATTAAAAAAGAGAGAAAATATAAATAGTTTCATATATTTTAAAATTATCTATTTAATTGTTCTTTGGGTTTAATTTCAAAAATCAATCTTGTAAAAATGTGGAAAAATGTTTTTGTTTAAGATTGAACACGGGTTTTTCCTGGTCTAAAGATCTGGAAGAACAAGGTTTTTACTCCAGGAGGAGAAAAGAACAAAATCAGGAACAAATTTAGCGTAACACCGGAGAAAGCCGGGATATAAACACAACTAAGGAACTAAGTTTTAAGTTTTAGAGATCCCAGGTGCTAGGTTTATCATGATTTGCAGGATAAAGGATTGTGCTACAAGAACCAGATGATTGTTCACAAATCTGCTCTTGGTTCCCTCTTATTTGTATTTCTGACAATGATCTGGGTATCTATTACAGCAGAGGGACTAACTTCCTGTCTTCGAGAAACATGGTTTAAGTGGTTTGCAAGCTCCGGTTTCCGTCCTGGACTAACAAACCCTCTTCTATCCGCTCTTCTAGCAATATCTTGGCTAAGATCCTCATCACTACTCACTACAGGCTGGTGTCTTCCTCTTATAGATCTATTGAGCTCTAACCTAGGCTGGGGTGTGGATTCACTACTCGTATTGTGTCCTGATCTACTGCTTATCCCACTATCTGACTCCTGAACGGAGTCACGTCCTGTATCCAAAAGTCCTCTTCGTCTCAAGGTATCACTGTAGTAGTAGACAGATCCAGAGTCCGGAGTTCGGGTTGGAATCCTGTTTCCAGGTCTTCTAGGACTCACAGATTTATGCGAGGACCAGGGACCTCTCTCTGAGTGTAGAATTGTCTGGGGAAGACTCTCCTCTTTACGAATCACAGCCATGGTTTGGTGAGGCACAAAACCTTTTATTTCAGTTGGAACACCGGGTTCTCGTGAGCTCTCAGCTCTCCCAAACTGGGATTCAACCTGGGAGTTATGGTTGGAACCAACACTACTACACTTATCTATCTCTTCATAGATCGGAGGGAAACCATTGGAAGCTCTATCAGAGTCGGGTTTATACGTTGAGCTCTCAGTATCATAATCTGAACCTGATCTATAGGTTGAACTCCCTCCCTCGTATATATGATGAGGTTGAGTATGTCGCGGTGTATGATGCTCCCCTTGAGCAGGAACAGGAACATGCTCCGATAGTTCTCCGTTAGGGAGGAGAAAGAAGGGTTTACCCCCTATCATAATATGAGAATAGTTCGGATTATCATAAACCTCGGATGCAGATTTCATCTCCAATGAGTCTGGAATCTGAAGTCCCGAAGTATCTTGTTTTCCGTCACCACAATGACATCCCTCGACACCGGACTTTCTTCTTCTGAAATCAGAGATTCATAATTGAATATCAAAGATGAGTTATAGAACCAATTCAATCCAAACTAAACACTCAACCATCAAACTTTCCCGGATCTTGGCCGAGAAAGTCCAAGTTAGAAATGATATGGAGCTGGAAGGAAGAATAGAGGGGGGGGGGGAACTACTTAATTAAAATATTAATGAGTTTCAACAATAGGAAAATGATGAAGAGTCCAATTTAAAGTTTTGCAAAAAGAAGTGTGAAGTTGTAAAAGCATAAAGGAATAATAAATTAGATGATATTTATTTTGTGTTTCAACACAGTTTTCATGCCCGAGTTGACAATTGATTTTTATGATTAATGATAATTAATAAATGATGGATTAATTAAGTGTCAACACTTGATTAATCTGCAAATTAACAGTTTTTAAAAAACACAAAAAAATTGGTAAATTTTGAATATAAAACACAAAAATACAATTCAATAATTTAATTTTTTTTTATTTTCCCACTTTACTTCAAAACAATCAATCAATCCAGAAACTCGCAAATAATTGATACATTTTTTACTTCTTAACAATTTGTCAGTTTTGTATCAATAATTCATTCAATACTTTTAACAAAGTTTATTTATTCAAGTTTTCAGTTTCAAACTGAATCATCGTTTTTTTTTTAAGTAAACCCTCGAGAAAAATAACTATTCATTTGTAAAAAAAGTAAATGTATTTTTAATATAAATTTATCTATTTTTTATATATATTTACCTCCAAATGCAAGCAACTAAAAGAACAAGTGCTATGACTAGAACAGCTGAACTGACCGCTACAATTATTAGGTTTTGAAACGTCTCTTCTAGGTGGACCTGAAGTACCAGTCAATCGTTAAACGAAAATATTTATTAAAAAATATGGAATATTGCCCCCAAAACAGTTCATTGCACTTTGTATGCAACCATTGCCTATCTGCTACTAGTTTTAACTATATCTGCCTGCAGTATCTAGAATGAACTATATCTGCCTGCAGTATCTAGAATGACCTATATCTGCCTGCAGTATCTAGAATGAACTATATCTGCCTGCAGTATCTAGAATGAACTATATCTGCCTGCAGTATCTAGAATGACCTATATCTGCCTGCAATATCTAGAATGAACTATATCTGCCTGCAGTATATAGAATGAACTATATCTGCCTGCAGTATCTAGAATGAACTATATCTGCCTGCAGTATCTAGAATGACCTATATATCTGCCTGCAGTATCTAGATTGAACTATATAAAATAAGACGTTAAAGCGTAACTCTTAATATTCTCGTTATCATCTTTAACCAACAATGAAGTCCTATCTTGTCCTGTATAGTTAGTTCTAGTCCGGTCCTGGTATGCCTATTCCTGTCTATTCCTTTCTATTACTGTCTATTCCTGTCTATTCCTTTCTATTACTGTCTATTCCTGTCAATTCCTTTCTATTCCTGTCTATTCCTGTCTATTCCTTTCTATTCCTGTCTATTCCTGTCTATTCCTTTCTATTCCTGTCTATTCCTGTCTATTCTTGACTATTTCTGACTTTCTGTCTATTCCTGTCTATTCAATCTAGTCCTTTATAATCCTGTCTATTCTTGACTATTTCTGTCTATTCCTATCTAGTCTTTTATAATCCTGTCTATTCCTATCTAGTCCTGTCTATTCCCATCTATTCTTCCCTAGTCCTGACTAGTCCTGTATATTTCTGTCTATTCTTTACTATTTCTGTCTTTTAATGTCTATTTCTGTCTTTTCCTATCTAGTCCTGTATATTCCTGCTTAGTCCTGTATATTCGTGTCTATTCTTTACTATTTCTGTCTTTTAATGTTATTTCTGTCTATTCCTATCTAGTCCTGTATATTCTTGCTTAGTCCTGTATATTCGTGTCTATTCTTTACTATTTCTGTCTTTAAATGTCTATTTCTGTCTATTCCTATCTAGTCCTGTATATTCCGCTTAGTCCTGTATATTCTTGTCTATTCTTTACTATTTCTGTCTTTAAATGTCTATTTCTGTCTATTCCTATCTAGTCCTGTATATTCCTGCTTAGTCCTGTATATTCCTGTCTATTCTTTACTATTTCTGTCTTTTAATGTCTATTTCTGTCTATTCCTATCTAGCCCTGTATATTCCTGCTTAGTCCTGTCTAATCCTTCCTATTCCTATCTGGTCCTCTATAATCCTGTATTATCCCGTCTAATCCTTCCTATTCCTGTCCAATCCTGTCTTATCCTGTCTACGGCAAATGATTTGTATAGAATATTGATAATTCGAAGGACGGTGGTCATAATATTGTCAATCTTTGATAAAAGCAATATTGTCACCAATAGATTTAATAAACAGTCTACCGTCCCCTTATAAGTAGATATTAAAGGATAAACAGTGAATAACCAAAACAAAAATGGCACTGAGACAATCTGCAAAATACTTTTGAAAAATAGTTTTTACCTGACTATCAATGATAACAATATTGTCACAACTTTCGTAAGGTGAGAGGGCGGGGCAACCCTCCGCCGCCAGATCTGGTGGGCGGGGCGGAGGCGGAAGAAGGAAGAGAGGAGGCGGACAGTCCCCATTATCACAGGTTATATCTAGGTACGGAGCATCCTGGAAGAAATCTGAAAACTCCTCCGGGTCCGATTCTCCCATCACCAGCTGAAATATTTATTTTTATCAACACAATTGTCAAAGGTATCAAAATTTTAAGAAACACACTGACTTGGGTCGATTATAAACACTTTATGCTCAAAGTTGGACGAAATATTCATAATTTTCTCTTTGAATAGTTGTTATTTCTAATTACAGTTTCCCATAAAGTGATTTTTGACCAGGAAAAGGTTTAAAGGACATACCTATGTGAATCGGACAAAAGCATCTGTAAATGAAAGGTCGCTTAAAATTACAAAGATCAGTCCCTTTAATCCCTAGATCCATTGTTTATAAACAAGGGATCAATCCCATTAATCCCTAGATCCATTGTTTATAAACAAGGGACCAGTCCCTTTAATCCCTAGATCAATTGTTTATAAACAAGGGACCAATCCCTTTAATCCCTAGATCCATTGTTTATAAACAAGGGACCAGTCCCTTTAATCCTAGATCCATTGTTAATAAACAAGGGACCAGTCCCTTTAATCCCTAGATCCATTGTTTATAAACAAGGGACCAGTCCCTTTAATCCTAGATCCATTGTTAATAAACAAGGGACCAGTCCCTTTAATCCCTAGATCCATTGTTTATAAACAAGGGACCAGTCCCTTTAATCCTANTGGGACGACTAAAAAATGAAAAAGACCACATAAAATGCATTTCAAGGGGTGGAGGAAGATTGGATGGTGAAATAAGTTAATCAAACAAAATGAGAAATCCACGCGTGTATTTATATTTTTCATAAATTTTATGCATCTTTGACAGCAGTTCTGAAATAAATTCAAAAATGCATTTTCACAAAAGAAAAAGAAAGAAATATATATAGTGATATTTCAGGCCTAAAATGTATTTTCATTTAGACACAACCCTTTTGAAAACAAGTATAAAACTTTGTTTTATTTTAAAATGAATATCTGGAGAAAAAAAACTATACTAATGAATAATAAAACCAAATTTTTGCAATATTGGATGTTTTTACAAGGCTTCACTTGTTAATTAGCTGTAATCATTATATTTATGAAAAATGAGAAACTAATTTTGTTAAAATACCGATGGTACTAGTACTCTGATTTATTAAAAAATGTGATTATTTTCCCTTCCTTGTTTATAGCTGAATAAGCATGTCTTAAAGGGACTGTAAGCCTTATTTCAAGTGACCTTACATGAGGAGACGACAACGCCCGATTCTCAACTGTAGCCTTTAAACTTTGAATGTGAATGATATTGTCGTTTTTCTACCGTGAAACCCTTAATAACAAATACATCGGAAGAATTTATCAAATTCAAAATTCTAAACATTGATATCTGATTCATTCCTCATCAGATAATGCTTTTCAGGGTAGCGTTGTGAATCGTGCTTTCCTATCGTTACATATAGAGCCACTTGAAATTACGCTTACAGTTCCTTTAAATCAGTATTTTTTAGACAGTTTTTATTGTTTATTTATCATGATCCGATATATTTACTGATAAAAATATTCGGAAACTAATAACAATTCAAGCTTCAACTTACTCTGGTTTAAATTTTAAAATCTTAAAGAAAACTTAGACCCCAAACTTTTTGGGTTTTAACTTACGAAATGTTTTCTTTTTTTCGCTTAAAATAGAGAAGGGTTTCAATTACTCCAAATAAAACGATTCCTACACAAAATTGAAATATTTCCATATTCATTGAACAATGTTAATTAATAAATATGAATGATTAAATTGTTTATTTAAAAATACTAACTCTGCTACTTAATATAAATATTTTCATATGTTTGATTAACTACTAAAAACATATGTGATTATTTACAGAAACGTTCGGTGCATAGTGTTTAGTGTCTACATATGTGTCCAATGTCCAGTGGCTAAAGTCTACATTAGTGTCTACTGTCTATAGTTTAGTGTCTGGATTCATGTGTCATGTGTCTAGTGTCTAATATTTAGGTAGTATCTAGCGTATTTATAGTTTAATGTCTAGTGTTTAGAATCTAGTGTCTAATGACTAGTTTCCTGTGTCTAGTGTCTAGTGTCTAGTGACTAATGACTAATTTTCTAGTGTCTAGTGTCTATTTACTAGTATTTAGTGTGTTGTGTTGGGTCTAATATATGAATAGCCTAGTGTCTAGTTTCTAATATCTATAGTCTAGTGTCTAACATCTATAGTCTAGTGTCTAACATCTATATTCTAGTGTCTAACATCTATAGTCTAGTGTCTAACAACTATAGTCTAGTGTGTTGGGTCTAATATCTATGGTCTAGTGTCTAATGTGTTGGGTATAATATATATAGTCTAGTGTCTAGTGTGTTGGGTCTAATATCTATACTCTAGTGTCTAATGTGTTGGGTCTAATATCTATAGTCTAGTGTCTAATATCTATAGTCTAGTGTCTAATATCTATAGTCTAGTGTCTAATATCTACAGTCTAGTGTCTACAACAAAAGTTCACTTTTCCATTTATCTGAAATGTATTCTGAATTACTCTTCACATATGTTTTAGTGAACAATTTATATAAGGAGTTTTAAACATGATAAATAATTCATCGAGTTAATCTTCAAAATGAAAATTTGCGCAAGGTTGAGAAAACTTTCAAAGATTATCAGAGAGTTAGATAATTTCTTCCATATCTTGACTAAATCATTACCCAGTCCATAATAAGTTTGCATATATAAGAGAAGTCGTGATCTAACATTATCAATGGTAGAATCCGCCCTCCCTCTTCTCTTTGTTTTCCCTCTCTTTCTCTACACTCCCAATTATCTTACTTTCCTTCCCCTCCGAAATAGAAAACCCGCTATTTTTTTAGTAGTTTTTCTTTCCCCATTTTCTACCCCCCC